AGTGCCCGATTCGTCCGTCTAAACGCCGCGAACACCAGTGGCCGCGCAAAGCCCCGAGGACCTGCCTGCAATTGGGAAACGCCAGTGATCTGTGACAGTCTTGTTTCTTCTCATTGGGCTGGCCTTTCCGTGCCCTTCAATGACCTGGAATCAGGCGCCAGGCTCGCTGTATTTGCCCCCCGACGAATGCGAGACTGAGCCCAGCCTCCGGAAGAACACGGGAGGGATCCCGGCCCTCCCCGCTGAGCCAGACATCCCAGCTGAGCCGACGGCACTACTGACTGCAAACTGCTGCGCGAAACGAAGCAGCAAAAACACTGGCAAAACGGTTCAGAAAACACTGCAAAGGCACAAGGCTGCCGCAGTACATGGCTGAGAGTGCAAGCGATTCAGTCGGAAGAAAGCTTTCCATTCCATCACGAGCAGCGGATCGTGAACCGGTTCAAAAATGCTCTCAGTAGAAGGGCTTCCTGAATTCGGCACCAGCATGCGCAGAGAGACATGCTCGAGCACGTAGGGTGGGCAGTCCTTCGCAGCGACGTAATTGTGTCGGTTACGAGGCGCCGCTTCTTGCACTCCAGGGCCTCGGCTGAACCACACGCACTGCCACGCGCAAGCGCAGACCACATTCAACTTTCCAGGAGAACCTGAGGCCCGCACAGCCTTCAAATCTTGCTCGTGTCCAACCCACTTCTCAAAAGGCATGTTGGACTTCGCCAGGAGCAAATAGGCGAGCTCATCCAGCATGCAGTGGGGGCCAGCCCTGCAGCTGCTGAAGCCGAGACTGCATGTAGTTAAGTTCAAAAGACGCGGAAAACTTAGATTGGCCTCGGCCGCGGAGCATCCAAGATGCGCAGGACGTGGTCCGCTGCGGCCGCCCCGAGAGTGATGGTCTGGCCACGGAACCAGACCATGCCGAATGTGGTGCCCTTGCAGAGTTCTTCCTTGGAAGACACTGGTCAAGTGCTACTCGGCTACTAAAAGGACATGGCAACAGACATGATTTGTGCAACCTGGCAGCAAGCACCTGTTCGGCCTGCTGTTGATTGGTGATGATGCCGCCGACGTTGAAGCCGAAAAACATCTGCTGAGCCTTAACTGTATGCTGCTGCCAGCACTTTTTGTTTGAAGCTTAGGCATGCGCACGAAAATTTCAAGCTTAGCGTGGCACGGCTTGCACGGCGGCGACCTGCACCTTCTCGGACACACGCAAGGCCTTGAGGAAGTACTCCGCGTTGTCAATGAAGTCCTCGCATCTGTAGCGCTTGTGGGCATCCATCACCTGGACAACTCCCCAACACCAAGGGCATTGGCTAAAGTCCTGCCGCACAAATAGTATCGCATGTTGTTTCTAAAACCTTTTTCACCCAGCCACGGCATGAGCTAGGACCGTGAAGACCAAGGCCGCTTCGAAGTGCTGGTCCTTCTTGGTCTGTAAGGCAATTGCCGTTGCGCGGCCGCTCATGTTTGCCTGCAGTGTTCCAGGGTCTTAGCACCCAACGGCGAAAGAAAGCCACAAACACACATTTCAGGGATATCAGTGCCGAAGTCATATACAACCCGGTGACAAGCCCAAACAAGAAGTACAATTCGCTGCCAAGCGGCGACAATGCCCTTGACGCTCTTTGTGACCTGTCGCGAGCAGAACTCCACGAAACTGGCACCTTATGCGGCTGGCGCTTTGGTTAGCCAACTCAGAGCGCAGCAGTCAAGCACCAGCAACAAGACACAAGTCCGCGAACTGCAGGCTAGCGCCAGCAAACACGCACAAGGAAGATGCCTACATGCTGGACGGTCCACGACTGCCCTTGTGCTCTGAAGTGCCCGCTACACTCGACACATGAGTTACGGCAGAGTACAAGCTTTTAGCGCAAGCTTACCGTCCAAATCAGACAAGAGGCAACGGTCTGCGCCTGCACAAGTCGGCCACTCGGTCTCATAAGGATTGAGGCCGGTCAATGCTGTAACTGAGAGTTCCTGCATGCGCTGGAACTCAAGCCATTCTACAGACGAAGCTCAAATTCACACAGCTCACGAATGGGTCCTCCCAGTTGTAAGCATCAACGTGCGGCTGCGTGAGCTCCAAGAACGCAACGAGATCCGCTTGCTTCGCGACTTCGTTGTCATCACCGTCAATATCACCTCAGACAAGACTTATGCACTACACTCGAGATTTTGCCTCCTTGAAATGAACTCTTGTGATCCCATTGTGGTGCTTCCAATCCTCTTTGGGATGGAAGATGCGCTTTAAAAAATCGCGAAGCAAACTGTAGCGTTCGCCGAGGTGCGGCTTACAGTCTTGCGACCAGCGCACCACCCATGCCTCACGGTCACGCTCCTCACCAGCGACCCGGGCCGTTAGGAACCGATCCGGTCCCTTCGGCTTGCCGGGCCGCATGGCGAGGAGCGGCCGATCCCACTCATGTGTCTTCAGCATCAGGTCCTGCTTCATGAGATCCTCGATCCCTGGTGGCAGGCCGGTCCTGGGTGCAGACACACAGTGGTAGCACTGTCAGAAGTTAGATCGCAAACTGAGGTCCCCACTCGAAGCGGAAGGCTTGTACTGTTGCATTGCAACAGCCGTGCCTCTTCTCCGCCTTTTTCTGATGCTTCGACATCACCTGCGCGAGACTTACTTCGAGGTCATTCGCCTTCCGACCGTTTCCGACCTTTGGGCTCATGCTCGAGGCAAGGGTGCGACGATGGTCGTTTGCACTCGAAAGAAGAGTTGAGCCAAAAATCTGCAATAACACCGGACTTGTAATTGTGCGGAGCCCGATGCCGAAGAAAGCAGTGCCTTCACTTCAGTTGAAGCTTCATTGACACTGGAATCAACGTTCCGCGAGTGTATATGGGCGGGGTGGGGGGGCGGGGGGGGCTCAAGCGAGCTAGAGAAACGTCTTGTGTGTACCCCTACACACATGTTCATCGGTGTTCTTGCCTGTCTTATCTTGCTTCTTTTCATCGCTCGGGCCTGGCTGGGGCTCCCGAGGCCGAGAAAAGCGGCAGCGGTGCGGACGCGGCCTCGGCGGACTTAGGGTTCCTTCAAGGGTTCCTATGAGGGCTTATTATAATGGTGTAGGGTTGTTATTTAGGGTCTTAAGACTGGAAGCAGGGTTCCGCAGAGAGGTTGAACAGCGCAAGATAATTTCAAAAATTACTAGAGAAGTGTCTAGGGGCATGTGGTGATGTAGTTACATGTTGACTGTAAGCTGATATGGTTGCCAGTTATACCAACCTTCATATTCGGGTTTACATGTTGTTTGGGTTTGAGAAGTTGGTTTAGGGCAAGTTTAGGGTGTATTTTCGAAATTCTTCTCAAGCAAAAGAGTCGAAGAGGGTGTTAATGGTTCATATCAACTTGTTACCGTTAACACAGAGTTAATGGAAGCCTTCAGGTCTTAAAGTCGTGCTCGATGATGCTTCGATCGTGCAAACATAGCGCCAAATTATGCAAAACAGCACAAGATAGACAATGATAAACAATCGGAGTTAAGCTGAGTTGCTAGTTAGCAACTACGGTTTATCACAAAGCGGCCACATGACAACTTTGCTGGCAGAAAATCCAAGACAAATAAACAACTGACCACCAACAAAAACCTCTCAGACCTGGATCGCGTCCCGTCTACCAGTAATTGCCAGTATGGCTTGAAAAGCTTCCTGCTGTTCAGTTTCGATAAGGGCACCCTAAAGTCAAAAGGGCGACAGGGTACTACTGGTCTACTGGGTTTCATATTGCGAGATGTCTCGAGAAGTACGGCGGGATAAATCAGAGTTGTGTCATGGATCTCTTATCGAGCTTGCAGATAAACTTGCTGGCCAAAGTTTGTTGGATTCCGTTGGTGTTTAGGTCCATGGCTTAGATATGCTCTCCTCCTCAGGCCTTACACTTACCTTTGGTTAGTATGGAATGGAAGAATTCGGAAGAATGGCAGTAATAGTAGTCGTTATAATTGTACCCCATTCCTCCATTCCCTACTAACCAAAGCTAAGTACAGCCGTGGAATCAACACGAGGTGTAGGGGTTCAGGATTGCAGGGCTTCAGGCTAGGACCCTTGGTTTGGATAGCTGGCTGCTTGCTTGCAACCTAAGTATACGTACACGTAGATGAATTCCGGGGGCCAATATGTGGGGTCCAATGAGACGAAGGAATCAGAAGGTTTCGTGGAATAGTATGGTCTAAGGCGGCATTGATATGGAGATTTCCAGGGCTTTGTATTGACTACTGACTTCCAGGGCTTTATATACACTGTTCTTCAGAACCCCCGTTTCATGTAAGCTACTGTACCTGCCCCTCGTTATTGCATCGACCTGGGCTGGCAGAAACAACATTCCTCTCGTGGCCAAACTTGAACGGTCCTCGCCCCGGAATCCTTGTTCTTTTAAGGGCCTTACCGTCTCAGGGTTTATGATTTTTGGGTTGAGAGTCCAACCTTGCAGACACTGAGCCGTGCAAATAATTCCTGGCCCCTAAAAGTTATAGCTACGGCCCTAAACATGTCCAGAATGCCCGACCGTAGCTACTACGTTCAAACCTTACACACCTCAAGCTGCAGATGTAAAGGCTTAAAACCCTCAAATGTAAGGGCCTCACACATCAAAACTGGGTTTCGGATATATTGTTGTGCAATTATCATGTAGGGGCTGCGGCTATGAGGGCATGCACGTATGAACTCCACGACCCTCGCTGTGAATCTGAAGCTTGATGTGCGGAGCCCTTGGATGCGAACCCAAAAAATTGACAGCAGAACGTCCGTACATGGCTTCAGAGTGTATGATCTACAGACCTACATCGCGTCATGCATTATTCATGATATGTCCCTGTCTGAGAGTTGAGCTCACACGGGAACCCAAAACCAGGATCCAGAGAGTGGGGTCCGTTCGGCGTTCTCTCAATGGGAACCCCGGAAGAACACGGTAGCTAAGCATCAGCAACACCCCAAAGCAGCCCACGGCAGCAAGATGCTTTTTGCACCACAAAACAATCGCTGCGAGGCCCTCAAAGCACCCAGCCCATGGCCGTCCTTGCATCAGTTTGTAGGATTTCAGATTTCAATCTTCATTCCAGAAGGCCAGGAGCGGGTGGGGTGGGGTGGGGTGGGGTGGGGTGGAGACACTAGTGCATATCAGCCTTCACCGAGAAAAGAACCCAAGGCCGATCTTCAGGACAGTTCATCGCTTTTTCTGTAGCTCGTGGTGGTGACATGATGGTCAGAAACTTCTTAGCCATCTCTATCAAAAAAACATCTTCTAGCCTTACCCAAGTCGACCTCTGCGTTCCACAAATCTTCCCGGAGGCCCTGTAAGACTGCTACTATGTTCAATGCTTGCCAGTGTGTAAGCCTTACCCTTTGGTCTGAACGTGACAATATTTGGCTAAGGTCTACTGCTGCAGCTCTACGGAAGTACCAAACCGAAAGGACAAGGTTAGGACTTTATTTTAGGGCTTTAGGGTTTAGGGCTTTAGGATTTTAATAAGGCTTTAGGTAATATTAAACCGAAAGGACTAGGACTTTATAGGGTTTGGAGGTTTAGGGCTTAGGGCTTACGGTTTAGGGCTTTGGGCTTTAGGGCTACGGCTGCGTGATTCTGCGTGATTGCCGGTCGGTGAGCTATCTCTGGCAAAAATTCGCACTTACCTTCTATCCGACCCACAATCGGATGCCCAAAACGCTCCCTAATGTTAAAACCGGACGCCCGAAATTCGGTTTGAATATTGGGGGAAGGGGGGGGGGGGGGGGGGGTCAGGGTTCACTATTAGTAGGGGGAAGGGATGACCCTGCAATGGCTGCCCTAACAGCTGCACCGTTAGCTCGAGCATCTTACTTCCGTCTCCTACGTCCGCGACCTGATGGTCGCCTGCTTCATGCCGCAACTCCCAGTCTGATGGAAGGCATCCTTTCCTAAAGCAGTGTATTATTATTGTGTGCAGATATTCCCTCATCCGTTCTAAAAAAATATTGATAATTCTGATCCGGCACTGGTAGGTCCAATACCATGCCTCTGGATCCTGGCGAGCACAACAATACTGAGCTCAAAACGTCTCCTTGCACGCTATCATAGGCAAAGGCCGACGCTTGAACTTCACCCGTCGAGACTTGCTAGAAGATTCCAAGGCAGCGCAGCCGCAGTGGCCCAGATCCAGGAAACCCAAAACCTCTGCAACCAGAACGCCGAAATTCGTTGAAGCCCTACACTTTAAATGGAAAATTAAATACACACGATACTCTGACAAAACCTATAGGACCCCAACCAGGACACGAAGCCCCAGATTCGACACAAGCAGAAGGCCGTCCCTGCAACCCTTATATATAACTTATAATAAACCTTAAACCGGCGAGCCTGCGGTGCACCTTGCGCAGATGAAACGGAAGACTCTTTGGCGATCTCGCGCGGTCAATGTTTGTGGATTGAAAGTTGAAAAATATTGGCTTCCTACTGTCGGGCTGTTAGGTTGAAGACCAACCAACCTCTTGAACTCTGGAGCAACAGGTAAATCGACCAGGGATCCGTGTCGGTGGAACTTCGTGCTCGGGCTGCCTTTGCCACGGTACCCTCACAAGAGTCGTAACCATGATGTCGTCTATAAGGACTATGCGGTTTGGCATAGTTTGGCGGTCTGGAGGCTTCCGGCAGCCATTGCACCCATCTAAGGAAGCAACAGCATGAGGAAGACACAGCATAGTTACAGCAAATGTCTTTTAGAACTTCTAGAGTCTGTAGAATGCCCAGGTGCTTGGATATAGGCTTGAGTGCGGCATTTTATGGGCATTCCCTTAACACCAGATTACGCATGCAGCCTGCATCGATGATTCGGGGGCTCCAAGAAATGGTACAGACTGTTGCGTTGTGTTTGTATACATATATGTATATATGTATATACACACATATATATATATATACATACATGCATATATATATATATATATATATATGTGTATATATATATATATATATATACATATTATCTATTAACTATAGTATAATGGGACACTTCTAACTTCTAAATATTCAGGCGCGGAAGAGGGCTTAGGGACTCAGGCTTACATTTCGAGGTTACCCGTCGCCCGTGCTGCGACGCAAATGCTTGCACATCCATGTTGCAGAGTTGTGCTATAAGAACGAGACACCTGGGAGAACATGTGCAATGTCTAGCAGATGCTCGAATTGCTGGATCCTGTCTATTTCTTCAGACCCTCGGGAAGCATGACCCAAACGCAAACCTCCAATCCAAATCCCACGATGAAGCCTGTGGGTCGAAGGGTGGGCACCCCAGAACTCACAAAGACAACGTTGCACACATGAAACTCCCACACGGGCCTTTGGCGCGTCCCTTGCAGGTGCTTTCGGAGTCTCCTGTCACATAAACCGCACTAAATGCAATTCCAACAGGACGGCTCTCGCAACCACATGCTGCTCTGAGGACGAACGGCTTAGGGAAAAAAATGTCTGTGTGCATGGTGGTGACACTGCAGGCTTGCAACGAAGTGGATACGGAGTTGCGCTGGCATAGCGGAAACGGATTGAGGATTCTTGGGTTTCTAGTTTCTGGAAACGCATAAGCCCCGAAGGGTCTACGAAGCCCTGTCTAGCCAAACAACTCGCACCGAAGAAGCTCCCCTGGTTTCGAGCAGTGCAAATGCAACTGACACGCGAGCCTTTGGCGCATCCTTCGCAGGTGATTTCGACGTCTCCTTCCGTGTGAAACACTTTGCGAACTAGAACCAGGCGGGGCTTGCAATGGGTACTATGCTCTAATCGTAACTAGTGATCAACTAGAGCCCTGCACACAGAACCCGAACCTCAAACCCCGCCACATCCCTAAATTCCCAATTTTGCAAGTTGTGTCCCTAACCTCAATCCAAACGCTGCATGTCTTGCATGTCACTTGTACACGGATGCGGTTCTGTGGACTGACGGCTTACAGTAGAAGCCAGAAAGTTGGAATATCATTATCGTAACCCCTTTAAGGTAAATTATAGGGGATCCTACCATTAATCCATATTCCAACTTTCTGGCTTTTACTGTAGCTACAAGGGTCTTTGAGGCTTTCATGAGTGCAGGCGGCCGGCTAGGATCTGGCTGTCTACCCTAAGGCCCCAAAGTAGTTCCTTTTTGGGGTTCATATTTCTAATCCTATAAGGTAATCCCAAAAAGGAACTACTTTGGGGCCTTTAATTGGGTAGAGTCTAGTCTGGATCGACATTTATGTCTCATGGGTTGTGGGCCGTAGCCTTCCCAGCCGGCGGGAATCTCTGACACTCTCTGACTTTGCACTTCAGCATGGCTAGAACAAAACCTCCCACTACGTAATGCCATGTTGTCCAGCACGTGAAAGCTTAACAAGCCCAAATATGCGAACCATGACCCAGCAAATGCAACTGACACGCGAGCCTTTGGCGCATCCTTCGCAGGTGCTTTCGACGTCTCCTTTCATGTGAGCCACATTGCGAACCCGAACCGGGCGGGGCTTGCTACGGATTCGGCGTCATAGGTTAACAGAAACCCCGTTACGCAGAACCGAAACCTCAAACCCCAAATCCTCAAGCCGTATCCTTAAATCCAAAAGCTTCATGTTGTTGTTCTTGTGACTAGGGTGCAAATGTTCCGTTGACTGGAGCCGACATGTGCTGCCTCTTGTCTGAACTTGTATGTGGTTCTGCCAGCTGCCAGTCACACAGAGTCTTTGAGGCTTTGATGAATGTGGATGTTGGATTGTCCAAGTTGCGGGCCTGCGCTTGGGCATTCACATTTCCAGCTATTGGGGTATCTGCCTAGGTTCCCAGCCCACCACGGACTGCTAAGTTTATACTGCACGCTCTGTTGCAGCATGTTGTCCAGCAAGCGAATCATATGCCGCTGTTTATACCGACTTCCGACGACCTCAACAGCTAACACAATCGGAAAGTGTTGGAAGCATTGCCGACGTGTCATTGCCATAGGCATGAACCGGAGAAGCCCGCTCTACCCAAGCACCACAAAGAAGCTCCCGAACTATCGAGCAATCGCAGCAGACAAGAATGAAAAACTCACATGCGCACCTTTGGGGCATCTTTCGCAGGTGGTTTCGATGTCTCCTTCCATGTGGATCACATTGCATCTCCGGGTCTATGGCGCGGGGGAGGTTTGCAGTGGTACCTGGCAATCTGATTCTCTTACACTTGGGGGGCAGCCACATGTCTCCAGCCTACATATGCACGTGTATGTATACATACATATATATATATATATATATATATCTACCTATCTGTATATATATATATATATATATTATGTACATACATACTGACTTACATGCCCAGATACAAGATACATACATGCATACTGCAGAGAGAGAGAGAGAGAGAGAGAGAGAGAGAGAGAGAGAAAGAGAGAGAGAGAGAGAGAGAGCGATTCTTCTATTGTTTATGCGAGTATATCACATGACCGAATGCATAGTCACTTGCACAAAGACATGCATAGGTCCATACACATCTGAACTCGTGCATAACTGGAATGGTACACTAGCGGCAGAAACATTCATACTTTCATGACAGCATGCTTGTTGGTAGGGCTACTGCTGAAGAGAACCTATACAAGAATGGTCGGGCTGTTGATGGCGATGCGGGTCAGTTTCCATGTGGTTCTGAGACGATCACTACATGCACTACTGCTGCTGGTTATTCTTCTGTACTCCAACTTGCCTTGGGTGCCGCTTTTGCCACCGTCTTCAGTGGCGGAACCTCAACTCCGCAAGCGCAGCGGCAGCGGGCCGGTTGCACAGGATATGGGCTGCTTACCAGCTTTGTTCAGGTGGTTGCGGGGGTGTACGACATGTTTCTCCAAAAGCCCCGTCAGGATGCAGCCTACATCTGCAGCTTAACCATAAGCCCGAATCCCTAAACCGCGGATGAAGCGTTCAGGCCCAGGAAACGTCGATCTTGTCAGACGAGGCAAGGTCCTTAGGCCACAGCAACACGTTGATCAAGATGAATCATGAGAACCAATCCTGCCTTAGGTTGCTGTACCGTCTGTGATTGACGGTTTGGCAGAGCTGCCGTTCCCCCTAATCACTTTCAGCTTCAAAGCCCTGTCGCCACCAACTCTAAAGCACTCAGACTAAAACTCACGAGGCTCAATGACTGCACTGACTGCATCATCCACACTCAGCCCCTGAGACCTGCATAGATGCCAGCACGGGCGTGACACAACAGGTCCAACTCGGAAACCTGGAAAAGACGTCTTGTAGCCACACTGAAAGTCTCAAAGTCCGGCAAGATAGCGCCCTGCGAAGTGAAAACACCGAATCCCGATCCTGCGAGGTGGCGCTCCACGCTGCAAAAGTCGGGAGAATCAAAGGTTCGACGAGACGGTGGGTACTCCGGCATAGCCCTACTGACACCTGCACCCCATACCAAAAGAGCCCTTCACTCCAAACTCAGCCCCTCACTCTGGACTCTGAACTCATAACCCTCAATTCGACAACTGCCCGCCCCCAATGGAAGATGTGCGTCGACGTAGAGGAAGCGGCCTGGTGCTGCCTTCTCCAAGAAAGACGTCAGCTCGGTCCTCGGTCGCGACTTGAAGCCCTTTGGGGTGTAGTGTCCCTTGAACAGGGGGGGGGGGGGGGGAAGTGGGGGGTGAGGGGGTCGGGTTCAGGGCTTTGCGGTTTCGGTTTAGTTTTTAAGGTTTCGGGGTTTACGGTTTAGAACGCCAGAAGGCACTTTAGAAAAAGGGCCTTAGCGATGAGGATCGGGTTTCAGAGATTTTAGACTTGAATGAAGAAGGCCGAATTTTGCACATTTTCCCAATTCTTCAGCCGCCGACCTTATTGGACCGCCAGTCCCCCTCAAGCCTAAAATCCTCAAACTCGAAAGCTTGGATTTCAAGTGTAGTCCCTAGCTCTACAAAACAGGCACCGGACAATAACGTTGCCGAGCGATGTCGAGCGTCGGCGCAAGGCAGGTAGTGAAGTCAGAAGACATCGGATGAAAGAGTAAACCTGCGTGTCGAGGGGGCCTTCACAGTAAAACCTAGTGATGTAGAATGACGCTGGCTTATGGGCCCTGTGTGCTGGTAGAGTCGCTTTGGAGTCTACGGTCTCGGATGATGGGTTCAGGGTCTCGGGGTCTCGGCTCGGGATTTGTGTAGGTTCTGGGGCTTGGAGTTGCAGAGGGCTCCAGGACGCCACAAGGACGGGGCCCTTTCTCAAACTATGCGCCGCAAATTGACAAGCCCTTGTCAAAAGGATCCTGCAACTTAGGGCACTTAGGCAACAGCTTGCGGTCTAAAACTACGGCCCGTTCCATGCTGAAGCTCCCATTGGTGGTTTCGTTCATCGCTTCCTGACTTCCTGGGAAGTCTGCTTCTTGTGCCCCGGGTCTGCGGGCCTCCTGAACTGTAGGGATCTCAGTGCTGCAGTACCGGAAGTCACGTGCGGCAATCTTGTCAATGCTCTTTAACTTTATTAAGCCCTAAGCTGCCCACTTCTGCCTCAAAACCGGAACCCCGCAAAGCCTAACAGAGAACCCATCTCCTGGACATAAAGGACAATCCCAATCCGAAACCCGAGCCTGTATCTGGAATTCTTAAATCGAAACCAGTGTTTCGGGTCCAAGCTTGGAGCTGTTGGGTTTTAGAGCTTTCGGCAGTTTGGGGTACTAGGGCTTTGGGGGCTGCAGGGTGTTCGGGTTTCTTACTACTGGACTAATGTCCAGGACTTGAGGGGTTTAGTTTCCAGGCCTGCGGCTCTTACCTGAGCATCTACTCTGCAAGGACCAAGTTCTCTCAGGCCATACATACAACCTCTAACCTTGAACAGAATAAAGGTGAATAGCAATCAATTGCAGCTCGTAACTCGTAACTTCTCAAAAAACCTCCCTACTCACGAAGCCCTACATCCTGAAACCTCTGCTCCCATATCTTGAACACTAGACCTCTTAACCCCCCCCCACTGAGCCTTCGCAGCCCAAGAACTGCTTGTCAAGCCTGGGCTGGTTTCGGGAATCCGATTGACCACTTTAGGATTCAAGGACGTGTGTAGGCTTTCGTCCTCGATGATCAGCCTTGGAGCTTGAAAAATGCATGGGCTTGCAATAAATCGTAGGTACCTTGTGCTGCTGGGATTGATCGTGCGATTTAGGCAGCAAGAGCTGCCAGCAGCACCTGTCAGGCATCCATTATCAAGACCGGACTTTTCGGGTGGGGTGTCTTCAAATGTTTGCAGCGTTGTAGTATCCACTTCGGGCCGCAGGGTGAGAGAACACCAGCACGGTGATTCTGATGCACATACGAGCGAGAATACCAACAGCATTGGCTGTGGTAACCATACTTGAGGTGCTCGTCAGTGTCGCCATGAGCTAGCAGCTCTTTCACTACCAGTATGCAACACTGACACTACTGTAGCAATTCTACCACGCCTGCCTAAGAGACACCAGCCAGAAATCGCGATCGTCATGTTAATCAGACATGCGCAGGGTTGAGCCCAATTTGCAGAACCCGTTAGCAGCTCATGCTAATCCTCCTCCCCGAACCCCAACATCTCCAGCGCTACGGGTCACAGCATTTAGAACTGAACCGAGGATTTCAACCTTCGCGTACGTGCTGCCAACCACGCGAACACGAACAACAGCTGCTACAGACTCCGTGTAGCCTCAATTCGAAACACGAAAGGGCCGAACAATTCACATTGAGGCTTGAAAGGTTGAGGGTGCAGGGATTTAGGATTGAGTCAGGGGTTGGGTGTCGCTCTCTGCTACTCTGGAGGCACTCGGCACATGCAGGAAGAAGTTGACCGCATGTCACGGAGACACTCGCCCCGGGTTTGAAGGCACATCTGCGAGGGAGGTAGGCTTCGGGATCAGGACTATGTTTGCTTGTTTGCTCAAAGGTTTAGCCAGCTAGCCTTATACTGCTCCAGCCCTATAAACACCCGTGAAGCCCTGACCAACCCCTAACCGCTGAGAAACTCACGCGCTGACCAAGGCCAAACCATCACTACCCTCAGACCCACTGTCGATGCCAAACTCATTTATGGTGACAGGCGTATGTGCGGCAGAATTGCAGGAGGAAGATCTCACTGCAAGATTCTTGCGCCAGGACGAAGGGATTCACAGAGCCTGCTTCAGTCGTTTCCAAAGATTCAGGATGCACGGCTCCGGGTCGAGGGTTTAGGGGGGAAGGGGCTTAGAATTAATGAGAGAATGAGGTATAGGGCAGTGTCGCGGTCCTCACCAGACATTGAGGCTTGGGCTCCGGTCGTACAGCTCCGGTTGTCCCGAGTGCTTACGGAAGACTTAGCAATCCAAGAGACCGAAGCCCCTAGACCTGAAAGTCTACGAGAGCTTCCCGGAGGCCTCCAATTCGGAGGACTAGGTTCTCAGGATTTCCAAGTGTCATCCGGGTGATGGGCCTTTGGGAATCTGCAGCACATCATCGAAGATGTCCTTGGGGCGAAACAACGGGTTACCGGGATGGAGGTGCCTTAGGAGGAAATGCAACTTCCCAAAGTACGCGATACGGGAAGGATCGTTGGAAGTGACATCGACGAATTCCACAACGGCTGCATCGAAACTTTGGAGGTTTAATTTGGATGGGCAGAGGTTTCATACACAGCACTTGTAATCAGCTAAGCTCAAGCATCTGCTCTCACAGACTAAGGTGTTCGAATGAAGGCATTCGAGCATTCAGGGCTTGACTGGTACACTTCGAAACCCTGAGCCTACAACAAGCCCAGAACTGAAAGGCTTCGGGTGTCAAGGACCGTTTAAGGTATTTGGGTAAGTTTAGGGTTTAGGGTTTCGCTCGTGGCCCGGCAAAGCAACACTCAGCAACGACACCCTTGAAGCATTGATGCCTGAAGCAGGATTCAAGGTCAGGGTACAACCTCGACTGCTGAGAGGAAGTTTTGGAGTTGAAGATGCTCGTTTAGGATTCCGCTTAGGGTTGAGCTTCCGGTTCGATCCTGACCCAGAAGCCCACTCGGCCAGCACCAAGGATGGCAGATAACAGGGCGATGACGGAAGAGTTGCGTCACCGAATTTTCTCGCAACAAGATATTTGCACCTCTTGGCTGTGTGATCTTTGGATCAAGAATCGCTATAGAAGAGTCCTCGGCGCTTTGAGGTTCGTGCCGACTTTCGGGCCACATCCCGAGGAGCTCTAAAGGCTTCCACCACAAACCCAAGACGGATCACGGTCCTTGAAAGCCCTCTTAGCCATAGATGACTAGCCCATAAGGCAAGTTCAGGATGTGTAACACATACCTAAACTTACCTCAACACGAACTAGCCAGAAGCTGCCACGAGGCATCGGACGCCAGCCGCAGCGGAGACGATGCTTTAATGCCCAGGCGTGTGGAAAGAGTCTTGTTGTCCACGGCCTCACTGCATGGTATGCGCACTGTACTGAAACATGCGCAGACACACACACACACACACATGGAAGTCCGGTTTCCGCCGGTTGTCTCGTAGCATTCCTTCTTTCGCCCTTTCTGTGGATACTTCTTGTCTCGCTGCCAAAATCTTCATATCTAGATTATGTTATTTTGAGTTCGAATACCAGGGCCTCAGAAATCTTCTTTTGTTCCAGGTTAATCTCAAAGACATGCATACATTAGTTGAGCGATACAATTGAATGTTTCGGACTCAAGGTTCATAAGACTGAAGATGCAAATCGATCATCAAGTGAAACTGCAGGTACAGAGCTATGCGTCCATAGCTCCTTCCTCCTATTCCGCTAGCTTCGTTGGCTGGCATCACGGAATAGGCTGCCAGCCCCCTGCTTCTCGTCATATACGAAGCAATGATGCAAAGGCTCTGAAGATTCAAACTCCTTGCTTTTCTTCCAATGCAAATCATCAGTGCAGATACTCTAGAGACTCAAAATCCTTGGATACAGGAGTTGCACACACACACACACACACTGACACACTCACACACTCACACACTCACACACACTGACACACTGACACACTGACTGACTGAACTTAGGCTGTTAATTACAAAAGGATTCCAACCCAAAGCCCAGGTGCCGTCTCTACCAGGGCACAAACAAGAAAGAGTCGGTTCTTCAAAGCGCCGCCGCCTCTCTGCGTTGGAAACCAAGTGCTATTCCGAGAATAGGGCCGGGGGGGATGTTCAGGTTTGCTTGCTGTTTCCTTTTGGAGCGTTGAAAGGGCGTCTAGAACAGGTTAGAGTTTGAAGGGCTCAAAGCTGAGCATTGTACAAACAACAAGCAGGTCGCCACTGTCGCTATTCTTGCGGCCGCTGCTAACCTTGCTGGATGATTGTTCATGTTTGCCCCTAACCCTAAGATGCGGTCGGGTTCTCGACCTGAAGGCCTTTGGGTGTGCGAAGCATTCGGGCTTCCGGGCATGGCATTCCTGGACATGGGATGGTGGAGACTTTCGGCTTCAAGTTTTAGATGTGCCTGACCCCATATGGCTTGGACAAACAATAAAACACCCCTGTGGAATTTCGCTATCTTTGTCAGGAGAACGACGTTCAGATGTCGCGGTGCTGTACCGACAACCTAAGACATGGTGGACGTCTGGTAACTGCCTGATGGGACTTTGAAGAACAAGTTCTTCGCTTGCCCTTTGCCGATGAGGTGCGCGAACTCCGTTCCCTGTCATGAAGATTCGTGCATGAGACGGTTCCAGGGATCTTAAGATCTTAAGTCCTAAATACCTGATGGGAAATACTCACACAAACCGAAGGAAGTACTAGTTTCTACTATAGAACGCTACCTTCCATTAGTAGATGTACGTAGGGTTCTTTGATGTTGTGCTTCCTAGGAACTTGGACATGGGCATAAGGCTTTGGTTTCCGCAGTTCGCCTTTGCTTACGAGACATAGTGTATTGTCACTTGGTTGAATCGACTCCAACGGCCCAGGTGTCACGCGTGGATCTTTAAGCGAAAACCATGGATATTCAAGTATACATCGAACGATAGATAGATGGGCGGATGGATGCATAAACCCTTAGGTGGATAAGGAGCTCGACACATAGAAAGAAAGATCGATGGGTAGATAGCTGGGTACATAGATAGATAGATTGGCAGGTAGGTATGCAATGGCAGGCAGACACACAGATAGATGCATAGATGGATAGATGACCGGATAGATAGATGGATGGTTGGACAGCTGGATAGACAGATAGGTAGGCCCAGAAAGATGAAACGATAGATAGACAAGACACTAGATAGAGAGACAGATAGACAGCTTAGACAGCAACCACGTTTTGTGTTTCAGTGGCTGCTCAACCCAGGCAGAGAGAACCAGAAGACAGAACCATGAAACCACCATTCCAGTTACGATGCAACGAGCTCGGCAATGTAACAGTCGTACTCAGTACCACGCCGCCCGCAAAACTCAGTACGCTAAACGAACCGGCCCTCGCATGTTAAGGATTTACTGCAAGATGTGCTGTATTTTGCACCACTTGCCACTGGTGATGCCTTCTGCTGTACGCGCCCTCGCAGCCTTCACTCTCAGCTACTCACCCAATGCAGCTCAATCCAGACTGCTGTTTCAGTCTGGCTAACTTGCTCTATGACTTCGTCAACACCAGAGCAAGATTCTTGGAAACAGCCCCGAATCCTCCAAAACCACCTCCAGTCCCACCCACCCCCTCACTGAGGCCCGAAAACCAAAATCCAACTCGCCAGACCCCACACCCCACAATCATCAGACCCTAATAGCCCCATCATCGTTACAACCACGTACTGACCTCGAAACCCCAAGGCTCCAAACCTCGAGTCCCACCGCCATTCGGCTCTCAGGGCCCTACTTAGAGGCCTTCAGGTTCTCGCTGTGGAGCTCGCAAGTCGGGGACAAGGCATGCCTCTTTACCGGCTTTGCTTTTAAGGAAGTGACCGAGGACAAAAAAAACGTGAAGGGCTTTCTGTGGTGCAGGCGCTAAATGTCGCATTTTGCTGTTATTTTGAGTTTCGGCTTCGGGTTTAAGGTCTAGGAGTTCAGCTGCGTGGGGTTCTAGGTCATGTGGACCCTCAGTAAGAAAGCAAGAGGAGCCCTGAGCCCGCACTCACGAAATCCTGAATCCGAAGTTGCCTGCCTTAAGAGGCCTGATTCCTGGCACTGCTGCTTTATTGTACAACAAGCGCTTGGATAGGGCTTCATCGGACGGTATGAGGCTTTCAAGGCACCCTGGGACAGTATCCGCTTGCTTTATAGCGTTCTGTAGGACTCTAGTAATGGTGTTGTGAAAGGCCCTGAAAATTAGCCCCTGCTTCAACATTGAACTCCAAGCACCCTGACACTGAAGACACTGAAGTGCTTGACACGAGAACCGCAAAGACCGGTTTGCGCTTTGCATCGAACTCCAGCGGATCGAATTACAGCTCCGATGCTCCAAAGTATTAGCAAACCTAAAACTTCCTGAACCCTGGTGCGGGAAGCTACCGGTCTTTTTGCCAAGTTTCTGGATAGTGGGATGGGGTATGCCCCATGCCTGCTCGGAGAATCGGGACATGGGCTGTAGAAGGGGCTCAAGGCTGAAGGGCCTCTGTTTCTAGCTAGTTAGCATTTCCCTAGCACCTGAATAAAGAGCTCTCGTGGATCGAGGCTACGCAATGAATCAATTAAGGCCGGATGTTAAATTGACAAAAAAGGGGCTGCGCCAGATGCAACTGCCGCAATGCTTTGACTTACTTGAAGCCCGAGATGCTGTTTTGAGCATGGGATCGTAACCACAACACCGCGTATCCAAACCAAGAAACTACAACGGAGATTGTACGTGTGGCCCTACTCGAAAAACAGTTCGGTTATGTTTGTTAACTACAACTGAGCACAAGAAATCTCCGTGTTGGCCCCAGCCATTGCAAACACCTCGAGCTTCGCTCCGCTGTCATACCGAGTGAACACCTCGGCAGCTAGGCGGTAGGCCGGCGAGAGCCCCGGCAGATAGCTTGGCATAAATTCTGTACCACCTTGGCGAATTCCTCACGGTCGCGCTGGCGCCCCGGAATGCCTAGGAAGCTGTGCGTAATACCGAAGAACTTGGGCGTGAGGCGCCCAAGAAGTTGGTCTTGCCGCTCTGTCTCTTTCCTTGTAAGCAACCGCGAATAGAATCTGCAAGCCTTCAACTTCAAACCCTGTCAACGTCTACAGTCTAGGACCTCAACCATGAGCCCAAAGGAGCCCGTAAAATCCAAGCAACGCTAAGCAGCCTGAACCTCGTAAACCCGGGGGATCCCAAAAAACCAGGGTCCAAAAGACCTAAACCCTATAGGCCCTAAACCCCTATAAACCCTATAAAACCCTAGGAGCCTTCAGCTTCGCCAGGAGTCCCTCCCGCGAAAGTGCCATGGCTCAGGCGCACGGATTCAGCAACTCAGGGCCCCTTTTCAAGGGTCCTGGTAATAAAGATCCTACTGTTCGGGACTCTCTATGTGGGTTCCTGTTAAACTCCTCAGATTCCCGTGTACAAGTTTTACATGGGGTTTAGGCTGAGGGATTTAGGGTTTGAGGTGTAGCGCTCCGACTGTCTAGGGTCTTCTGGCGTGATCGCGACTTAGAGATGGTTGTGGCTCCCTGGCCTCGAGCCCTATACCCAGAGTGGTTGAGGGAGGAACAGCTAGAAACCTCCAAACTGCCTTTGCATTGGGTTATGTGTCTGATGATCTCGTCTGCGAGCGGAGCCGTTCAGCTAGTGGCAGGTAGCGGTTTTGGGATCCTTGGGTGCAGGATTCAGGGCCTGGAGATGAAATCCATGATCATGTTTGCAACATTGGCCGCTCTCCAATCTATTTTCCTAGCTTCGAGTTAGGGGTGCTCCAGTGCTCCCCATGTTGCAATAGAAACCAACTCAGAGGAGAAGCTAAGGCGACCCTAAACCATGTAAACCCTAAAGCATCCTGTCGCTTGGATTATGTATGTTCCTGACTTTCAGGCCCGGTCGGAAGTTTATCTCTTCCTGTGAAAAGAGGAACCAGCTTCTCAGCTGGATCCTACATGATTTATCATCTACTTGACCGATCTGCTTCTATAGCCAGGGTCCAGTTGCGGGTGTTGGATTCCATAACAAGCCAAACAATCAACTGCAGCCATGCCCAGAAAGCTTAAATTGAACCAAAGGTGCAAGTGTACCATGGTTCCCCAGAGCTGATTCCAACTGCCCAAACACTCCCAGCCAAGTGTGGGGCTTAGGATTCCCGAAAGGCCGAAGGAGACGGGACACCACTTATACTCTACATTAGTATTGACGATTTTAAGTCTCGTACACCTCGGCTCCCGGCTCCTCCCATGAATCTGGGAGTTGTGGTGCCCGCAGAGGCCTGCTGAAGTAGGAGACGAAGTCGTTCTGGTTTTGCTTTCCTTCTGAAGAAGGCACTCGTGCTTGGAGCGAAGACGGTGTGACACTGAAACCGCACTCTAGCCCTCTACCATCCGCCACGACGAGTCCGCAAAGGCTCAAGGATATTGCTACATAAACTGAGGGCTAGGCCGCTAGGCTAGGGACAGACGGCGTCTTGCTTGCCCAGCCTTCTCCTGGACCGCGGCAGACGCGTCGACGACATCCTGTCAATCTCACTACAGCGTCTTGACTGTGCACAGAAACGAACATGCGAAAGACATAGAAATTCAGGAATCCGATGGCCACGGGGTTGCAGGGCTGAGATGAGCCTTGGTATCACCACACATTCTGTCTTCAGGTCGGCTAAGACATAAACGGAGGGTCGAGAACCCAGGGTCACAATAGAGGGTTAACAATTTTGGTTTAGGGTTTAGGGGACACGCAATACGCTGGATCTTTTTCGCCGCTCGCACACGCACCCACACACGCACACAACCACTTTATTTACCTATACATGATGATGTATGTAATGCATCTACTGAATACATCTAGCGTGCAAGGGCCGATCGTATGCATACATACATGCATGCGTGCATACCTTCTCAGACAGACAGACAGCCAGCCAAACGGGCAGGCAGGCAGGCGGCCTGAGAAAACGGACAGAAAAAACAAACGTACAAAAGAAGCTGTGTGTATGCATGTACATACATGCTTACATCCGGAAATACGCATGCTTTTGTAAACATGAACGAAATAGGACATGTATATAGGTCCATGCGAATGATATATGTACATGTCTATTTGTATGTGCGTTTTTGCCTTGCGAAACCAGTGTGTGAATATGTAATACGCGTGTGTGTGTGCGTGTGTGTATGTGTGTGTGTATATATATATATATATATATATATGTCATATGCCTATGCGCAAACAGATATGGCCGTGTCTATGGCGATGTCTATGTCTCTGTACGTGCATATATATATATATATATATGTATATGCGATCGTGTATGTGTACATGTATGTATGTATGCATGCATGCATGTGTGTGTGCGCGCCTGTGCGTGTTCGTACATGTGTTTCTGTACTGTAGCTGTACGTATCTGCACGTGCATTTGCGCGCATGTGCATGTGTATGTGCATGTACATGGGTCTGTGCCTGTGCTTGCGCCTGCGTGTATGTGCAGATGCACGCACGCTGGCGTGCACACACACACACACACACACACACACCCATGCACCCATGCACGCGCACACACACACACACACACCCACGCACGCACACACACACACACACACAAACACACACACACACACACAAACACACACACACACAAACACCAATTGCGTGCTAAATGGACATGCCGTGACATGCCGATAGATAAGTGGACGGTGACACCGACAAAAGATGCGGCACATGTGCCTGCGTAGATGCACACCATATGTGAGTCAGTTGAGATTAGGCGAGTGGTAGAAACACAGACTATATGTAAATTACATGTTCGATCTTGGATCTTTCACATCAAAAACAGAAGCAACTGAGAGCACACAGAGAGACGTAACGGGGAGGCAGAGACTCCCTGTCGGGATGCAAACAGCACCAAGCGCCAACCCGAAGTTCCCATCCCGAACTACCCAACGCTCAGAAAGCAATGTGCCAGATAACACGATTCTGAGCGTGCACCCCAAATCCGAGACTCCTCCTAAACCAAAATCCGTCAACCCCAGCGCATGAAGCAGAATGACGCTGAACGCTGAGCCTCTGCCCTGGGTGGCACCACCCTTGGCGATCGTCGAGCTCCGGAGGCAGAAGTGCAAACTGGACTGGCAGCGAGACCTGCAGGCTATTTTTTGGTTTTGTGGGGTCTGGTGATTAATATTCGGCTATAGGGTTTTGGGGTTTACGATTCTAGAGCCGAGGATTTAAGCGTGTTGGCGTTGTGAAGTCTAAGACTTGCCTGTGCCTTTGAAGGACCAGCGCAAACTCATTGTGGGTGATCTGATCCAGTTCGAAGTAAGAAAACGGTGCTTCGTATTCCATTCTGCATTCTTGAGAAACTCACATGTTGGTGAGCTTGATCTTGGTTGCTTTTCGTATAGTTTAATGGTTTTTGCACAATTTAAGGTTGAGAAGGCAGACGCATTACTGCATAAGGTCTCAGGCCCCCTCCAGTTGGGAGAAGTTCAGCAACGATAAATCGTAAATCCCTAGCCCCAAAACCCGACGTCAACCCTAAATCCCCAGACCCTAGACCCCAAGCCCTTATAACACCCAACAAGGCCACTTGGAAGATTGTTTCTGAGCGGGAATCTGCAACACAACCGGGCCATAATACCTAGAATAGGATACTGGTGGGTATATCATAATAAAGTTATATATAGAGACCATAAGGGCATACAAGCAACTTATGACTAGTGGGTACTATATTAATTCCGACCCCTAACAATCGCATTCGGGTGGCTTTCCTGCAAACCAAACTTCGCTGAAGTTAGGCCCGCATCCGGATGACCTAGCATTTTTTTCTTCTACATCTGCCGGCAGATGCCGCCTCGTCCTGTCAGCGAAGCCTCCGCAGGACAGTTCAGTGGGGATGGGGGCCTTGATGGCCTCGGAGTTTCGGGCTTTAGTGCTAAAAGGCTCCGAGCCGAGAGGTTTACAGGGGGGGGGGGGGGGCTGCGGTTGAAATCCATCTCAAAAAGCTCCTAAACCGACATAACGCCAAGCCTAACCAGAACCCCGAGCCTGGTATGGCAAAGCATGCTGCTAGGGAACCACGAGGTTGCCATCAAAGCTCTTCTGGTAAGGGCATGCCGCTGGGAAGTCAAGTCTAGACTTTATGGCTTTAAGGGTCTAAGTTGCCATTGGTCATATACTCTCCCAAATATTAAACTACAGAACTACTACTAGCATCCGGACCGTAAACCACATACCAATGTCCGGATCCTTTGGACCCTTCGGGATGCCTCCACGGTTTAGTGATTGCTCAGGGAATGCATAGGGGTTGAGGGTTCAGCTTCGGGTCCAGGGCTCCGGGCTTGGGAAGTAGGGAAACAGTGTTGGGGCGATAGGGCTTACAGAGATGGCGCGCGAGGCAAAAAACGACCGCAGTTCAACTCTACACCCTACACCCCGGATCCTTGAATTTGAGTAACTCGCCTCCTTGTGCTGGCTACTGCTGGGTTGCGACGTGCGGAAGACGTGGCCCTCCACATGCCTCTGCAGGAAGGAGGAATGCGGTCGAGGGTTCAACGCTTTACCAATACGTCCTTGTTGCTTGGGGCATTTGTTTGGCAGAGGACGGTGTTCTCGAGCATCTGGGGGGGGGAGGCCCTCAAAGGGTTGATATGGCAAGATGTCTAGTATCTGGAGGCCTTTGGAGAACCCCATTCTACGTACAATCCAAGCCCGAAGCCCCAACTTATCAACGCCTACACCAACATGAAGGCCAGGAGCATACGGGCTACTCTGAGTTGAACAGTATCCAAACTCTGCGAACCCGATTACACTATGCTGTAGAAGCGTGAGCAGCCCAAACACTTTGCCAATGCCGCCCTGTCTGCAGTGTAGCTCATGGCTTACCAGGCCGTTCAGGGCTCGGGGGTATCTTGGCGTTTGCAGGCTTCAGGTGTGGGCCTAAGGCCGTCGACTAGATTTTCTGGCATTCGAGCTCTCCCAACACAGCTTTAGGCTGAGGTAGCTGGGTGTGATGCACCCAAAGACTCCAGGAAACTTTAATCTAAGACGAGCCCTAATGTAGCTTGTATTCAACTACTATATCTCAGGGGTCCTTATTCACCCCACTATAAACTGAAATGCAGATTGAAGGCTTTTGATAGTCAATTGTCCAGAAGCCGCATTTTACTTCACAGCGGAATACAAGTCTCTTAACAGTTCACAAGTAGCAGCGTCCCATCATATTCCCTGTTATCGGTTTTAATTGTGTTCAGATAATAAACTATACATCCGAAACCATATTCATTATCCCGATGGTTCACTAAGTAAAATTAAAAGA